CTCTCTTTTCTCTTGCCCTCACCTTCCCTTGCTCTCTCTTCAGAAGTTGCTAATAGTTGGAAGCTCTGGAACTTGCCTGAATGCATTAGCAGGAACCAATCCAGGATTCCCCTTGTAGAGCCTCCTCCCCCTCCTAATCTCAAAGTCCAGCTGGTCAGTGAGCAGTGGAACTCTTCTTCTGACCTGCTTCCATGGGGGTTTGCTTCCTGCCTGGAAGAGATGACTCTAGCCTGGAGACTTGTACCAAGAGCTTTGTGCCTGGAGACTTCCTCATCTAGGATTCTCAAGATGTGTCCTTCTCTGAGCCGTAAGTAGAAACCAGAGGCATGTGGGCAACAGAGGGGACAGCAAGAAGGGAAGGCCTGAGTTCTGGAGGCTGTTGCCTGGTATTCTGGACTGTCAGACCTGAGTAGGGTTTTAGAGACCTGGCATGTAACACAGCAGTTCCCACCCTCGTCCAGTGTCCCATTTTCATAGCCAGTGTTTATTTGTAATGCCCTCTTTTCTCCTGAAATGAAATCCATGGAAAATGAAACCCAGCTATATACAATTTTGAAATAAAAACAACTTGCTATTTTAGCTGATATATAAAGAAGAAATCAAAAGGTCCTCCCTCCCTTACCCCCTTTTCACTTTGCCAGTTAGACTTATGTCTTTATTGGCCATTCAAATGGGGCAAAGGAAATGTCCTTTTAAAACTCAGGCAAACTAGGTGTTTGTCTTGTATCCTGTCAAAGGAAACAAATTGAAATAGAGTTAGTGGAATTGTTAAGCAATTTTGTTAAGCAGTTTTAGTTTTCATAGCATAAAAAGGGGCAAGATTCTTGCCAAGAGAATCAATGTGCGTATTGAGCATATTAAACATTCTAAGAGCAGAGATAGCTTCCTAAAACGTGTGAAGGAAAATGACCAGAAAAAGAAAGAAGCCAAAGAGAAAGGTACCTGGGTTCAACTACAGCGCCAGCCTGCTCCACCCAGAGAAGCACACTTTGTGAGAACCAATGGAAAGGAGCCTGAGCTACTGGAACCTATTCCCTATGAATTCATGGCTTGATGGGTGTTAAAAATAAACTAATCTGTGGTCTATAAAAAAAATAATAAAAAATAAAAATAAAAAATAAAAAAAGGTCCTCCCTCCCTGGTCAAATTAAAGTAAAATAAATAAATGGACAAACAAAATTAAATAAAACAATTTTTTTTAAATCTGTACACTCGTTTATGTGCCAGAATGAGACCTGTAGACAGGTAGGGGAGGACCATTTTCCAATCCTCATCATGATCAACTGTATCTTCATTTTCTCATCCTTGCATTTTCTCCATCCTTCCTTCTTCCCTTATTTGCTCTTCCTCCTTCCCAAACAATTGCAATTGTTTGCAACTTAATACATGCCTGATGCTTTGAACATATTACCTCCTTCATTATTCAACCAAATCTGTTAGTGAATATTATTATCCCCTTCCATGGATGAAGATACAGAACAATAGTTAAGAAATGTAGTCAAAAGTAAAAACATAAAGGTGACAATTTGGGATTGTCTGACTCCAAACTCAGAGTGATTTCACCATGTCCTGTCCTATCCTCTCTTCTTCCCATCTTGTTTGGATTTCTCTTCTTCAGTCATATATATATATGTATATATATAGTTGGCCAGATTATCATTTAATTCTAGTATCTTTGGGATTCAGTCATATATATATATGTATACATATAGTTGGCCAGAATATCATTTATTTCTAGTATCTTTGGAGAAAGAACTAGAATTACACCCAGGGTCTTCTGCTCAGTAAGAAGGAGGCTATTCTCAAAGTACCAGCTGTTGACAGAGCAAAAGAAAATAACCCTCTGGGCTGCCACCTATCCCTTCCCCACCTCAGCAGCCACGTGCTGTAAATCTGGGTTGATAGGGGTAGCAGGACATCTAGAAATGGCAGGTGAAGGACCAGCTGCTCAGAGTGGTGGTATGCTCCTCAGGAAACATTGGATCCTACATGGTGACTTGGTTCAGCTCACCGGTTCAGTTGTCCTGAAGCACACCAGCTATGCATGCAAGTACCCAGGATCCATAGGCTGGAAGACAGGAGCAGGGAATTGTAGTGTGACCAGCCTGTGCAGGGTGTTTCTCTCTCTCTCTCTCGAACGCTTTCATTCTCATACGTGTGAGCAAAGTTACACACTCTATCAGAAATAAAGGAGAAAAAAAAGATAAACAACATTAAAGGGAAAAAAAAGTAGAAGAAAATAATGAAAATTGAGGCTTAGTCAAAATTATGCTTAGTGCCACTGTGCAATGCGAGAGCCATATAGGATGGCTACAGGTTTGAATCCTGGGTCAACTGGAACATGCCAGATGCCTCTGCAGGCGTACCCATGATCCTGGCTAGCTGGAGGTGGGAGGTTGGGGATGAGCAGGGTCACTAACACTTTGTTAGGGGGTTTTCTCTCTCTCATGAAAAAAAAGAGAAAGAAAATTTCAAAGAAAGAAATGGCAGGTGAGACATGGTGTGATAGGGGAGTGAAAAACCACTTCTCTCTATCCTTCTAGTCCTTTGGTTTGGCTACAAATTAAATTGACAAAACAGATTAACAGGAGGAAAAAAAACCTTAATTACATGTGTATATATGTACACATAGGAGTCTCCCAAAATATAAGACTAGAAGAAGGATCAAATGATTGAAGCTTATTTAGCATCCTGAGTTACAGGAGACAAAAACAAACAAACAGACAGGGGATTGGGCTTTTCAGGATAGGGGATAACACAAGTTATGGGAGAGTGAGGGGAGGAAAGGAAATGTATGGTGGATAAAGGTGTCTTTTTAAGCAAATAAAGATCTCCAGAAAGCATGTTGTCTTGGAGCAGCCTGCAGAAATACAGGTAATTGTCTGGATGTGGTGTCAACCTCTAATTATCTCTCTGATTGATAAGACTCTTAGGAAGCAGATTCATGACAGTCAAGGTCCTTTTTGAGGATCTGTCCTTAGCCAGATAAGGGCAGCTCAGAGAAAGCCTCCACCTGCATTCTTGCTCCCCAAGGGCCTTTGTTTTATTTCTATTTATATTATTATTATTATTATTATTATTATTTATGCATTCAATCACTATACATCATTTAGATTGTAAAGAGACTTTACCCAGCATGATATACACCTCAGTCCAGCCCAGTCAAGAACACTAAACACATCCTAATCAACACATAATAAACCTTATCTATGTCCCACAAATGTTTTTCCTCTCAATTTTTTTTACCAAATTCCTTTCCTATGTTCTTCACCTCCCACACTCTTCTTCCACTTTGTCTCTAGTGTCCATAACAATTTTTAATGTTTTATGTCCTCTAGTCTTTCAATCTCTACTATAGAGTGTGAACAGTTGGTATATGTTAAGTGGAAACATAACGATGTCTCTCTTTCATAGCCTGACTTGCTTCACTCAGCAACAAATTCCATATTCGTACACTTCCTATCAAATTCCTGGGTCTCATTGTTTTTTACGATTGAATAGTGTTCCATGGAGTATATGTGACAACTTTTTCAATCCATTCATCTATTTGTGGACATTTAGGTTGGTTTCATGTCTTAGCAATTGTGAATAATGCTGCAATGTAGTTGTGCAAACGATTTTTTGACTGTGCATTCTCCTGTCCTTTGGGTAAATACCCAGGAGTGGAATTCCTGGATCATATCGTAGTTCTATTTGAAAGTCTTTGAGGAACATCCATATTATTCTCCACAGTGGCTGGGCCAATTCACATTTCCACCAGTAATGTAAGAGTGTTTCCCTTTGACCATATCCCTTCAGCACTTATCATTTTTTTTGTTTTTTTTTTTTAATCTTCACCATTCTGACTGGGGTTAGGTGGTATCTCATTGTGGTTTTGATTTGCATCTCCCTTATGATGAGGGACACTGAGCATTTTTTATTCATATGCTTTTTGGCTGTTTGTATCTACTTCATTTATTTCTGCTCGAATCTTTATTATTTCTTTTTCCTGGCATTTTTTGGATTTTTCTGTTGTTGTTTTTCCAGTGACTTAAGGCATTATGTTAGGTTGTCCTTTTGCCACCTTTCCATATTTTTCTTGTGCACACTAATTGCTAAGAGCTTCCTTCGTATAACTGCCTTTGCAGTGTCTCATAAATCATGGAAACTTGTGTAATCATTATCATTTGTTTCCAAGAATCTTTTGATTTCAGTCTTAATCTCCTTGGTAGTCAGAAGTAGGTTATTTTGTTTTCATGTATTTGTGTATTTTCGAAGATTTTTCATGAAATTAATATCAAGTTTAATTCCATCATGATCAGAGAAGATGCTGGATAGAGTTTCTAAACCTTTGAATCTTTAGAGGCTGGTTTTGTGCCCTATCATGTTGTCAGTCTTCGAGAAAATTCCATGCGGGGCTGAGAAAAATGTATATTTTCTGGTTTTTGGGTGAAAAGTTCTATAAATGTCTATCAAGTCCATCTGATTTATGGTATCATTTAGGTCCAGAATCTCTTTGCTTATTTTTTGTCTCACTGACCTGTCTAAAGGAGATAATGGGGTATTGAGATCTCCAACAATTATTTTGTCACAGTCTATCTGTCCTTTTAGATCTAGCAGTCTTTCCTTTACATATTTGGGTGCTCCTGAGTTGGGTGCATAGATATTTGTAAGTATTATATATTCTTGGTGAATTAGCCCTTTTACTATTATATAATGTTCTTCTTTGTCTCTTCTTATGGTTTTTTGTCTTAAAGCCCATTTTGTCCAAAATCAATATAGCGACTCCTGCTCTTTTTTTATTTCCATTTGCATGAAATATCTTTTTCCAGCCCTTCACTTTTAATCTATGTTTGTCTTTCTCCATGAGATGGGTTTCTTGTAGGCAGTAGATGGAGGGTTTCTGATTTGTAATCCGTTCAGCCAGTCTGTGTCTCTTGACTCTGGAATAACATTCAACGTTACTATCGTATTTCCAGACTTGTCCGTACCATTAAGTTGGCCATATTCTTGGTTGATTTTGTTCTCTTATTGATCTCTGTCTGTCTTTAGTTTTCTTGGTATAGTACTCCTTTCAGAACTTCTTGACGGGCTGGTCTGGAGTTGGTAAATTCTTTCAGGTTTTGTTTATCTGAGTGTTTTTACTTTTTTTCCAATATGAAGGATAATCTTGCTGGTATTGTATTCTTGGTTAAAATTGTTTCTCATTTAACACTTTGAATATATTTCCCCATTCTTTCCTTGCTTGCATTGTATCTAATGAAAGACCCTGTGTTAGTCTGATGAGATAGCCTTTGTAAGTGATTTGACATTTCTCTCTTACCAATC